CCATCCTCACAGCCTTCTTTTGAAGCGGATCAAGATGGAGGGCTGACAAGGGGCATCCAGCGGAAGGGTTTTCAAAAAAAGTTTTTCTATTGTGCACTGGACCTCACATGCACACATGCAAATATCTTTATATAAACACAAGCTGATCCACATGTGCACATATGAGGTCCAGCGCATAACAGAAGTTTTTTTTTTAAAAAAACCTTTAGTTGGATCTGTCTCTTTCCCCAGTTGTTAATTTAAGATTATAAAGTGTAAAAAAATTCAGAGAGTTCTGATTGCTTTTAATTTGTACTTCCTTTGAACCTGGAGCCTCTTCCAATTTGCACGGTTGTTATGAGTATATGGTATCCCCCCCACCCCCAATCCACTTATCATGGATGACCTCCAAAAGCAACAACTGATTTTCTTCCAGTTTTCAAAAACAAATACACCCACTAAGTGTAAAAAAGAGGGTTGAAATGTATTTGAGGAGCTTGGGAGATATCAATAATAATAATAATAATCATCATCATCATCATCATCATCATCATTGCCAATACATCACACAGCCCTAGCCATTTGGGAAGTGTCTGACGTGTGATCCAATACAACAGCCAGCAGAGTGACCTTGTTTGCTGTGTACTAATCTTGTTGTGTTTCAAATAATAATAATAATAATAATAATAATAATAATAATAATAATAATAATAATAATAATAATAAATAGAGAGTGGAAGCTGCATGAAGCCTCCAGGCACCTTTCATCCACCATTCACGCTGAGACCCTTTCAAATTATGCAATTCATGATGCTATGACTCTACTTTAATTGGCATAGTTTGACCCTATGGAGTCCTGGGATTTCCAGTTTAAGGAGGAAATTCCTGGATTCCATAGGATGTAGCTAAAGCAGTTAAAGTGGAATCATAATGCAATAATTGTACAATATGGAAAGGTTCAGTGCCTCGAGCATTTCTGCTGGCAGTCAGAGATGCTAATGCTGGGATGAGTGGAGTAAAGTTCTACTAATATGGTAAAAGGTGTATACAGACCTGTATTGGGTGAAAAGATAAGGCTTCAAGCAATTGGAAGGGATAAAGGAAGCAGGGATAAAATAATTCCCTATAAAGCTGGCAGCAGCAGGAGACAAAATGGGAGCTATTTTCTGTGATTCTATTGGAACAAAAAGGTAAACTGATGGCAATGAAAAATCCAGAATGATAAGCTTGTAAAAAAAAAAAAGGAGGAGGGTTAGGGAATCTGAAAGGTATGCCTACCTATCCAAAACTTTTTCTCCCCCTAAGGCCATATAAACTTTACTAATAAATGAGATTGTTGGAAATTGCCCTATAAGTAACCTGCAAGAAGATGTGACAACAACATGACTTCCAAACTGCATGTCTGTAGCTACTGGAATTCGGAGACATGCTGCTTGCAAGCTTTTTGTTTAGATGACACAACTCTATAGCCATTAATCATATCCACCCTGACAATTGTTCTTTGAAGCTATTTTTGTGAGTGGTTTTACATTCCATAAACTCTGAATCATAAGAAAATCAGAATAAAGGAATGGAAAGACCTGAGATTGAAACCATCAACCAAGCAGTGGAAGAGTGGAGAGAGGCAGCTGCTTTTTAAAAAGAGAGACTAAAATTAATGTCTCAACAAAATTGCAATAGTATGTGTTGTATTCACCAATTTCTTTTGTGTCCCGTTAATTTCTGGTGGTCATCTAACTGGTTTTGCCCTTTTCCAAATGCCTCCATAAAATCCTGCAAAATCTGTTCTGTCAGTGATATTAGCAGAACAGGAGAGGGGGGGTGGTGGTGGTGGTGGTGAGTATTTGTACTACATGCAGTGATAGCTCTAATGCACCATTTTCTGCTCTTGGGGAAAAGCTCTTATGTGTCTCTTTCAGCCTATAAATACGGTTAAAGCAAAGGAGAGGTGTTCTCTAGCGTCTACTCAAAGATAATGGCTGAAATGAGTCAAGAATAAAAGGAAACAAGTCTCTTCTGCCACTATCCCCTCCTCCCGTTGTCTGTCCTTGACAGATTTCTGTGTCTTCTTGTTGAGTTGAAAGTGAAGAGCCCTGTGTGTGGGATTCAGTGAACAAACCATGCTTTGAGAACACAACGTTCCAGAAGAAGCGCATTGCTCAATGGCAAAAGTAGACATTTGCAAATGGCATCCAGAAAGGAGGGACTACTCATTATTGGCCTGGAGAAAATAACTATTTTGGACTACAACTTCTATAATTCTCTCAGCCAGGGGAATCATGGGAGCTGTAACCCAAACAGATAACTGCCCCAGATCTGCTTTTTAACAGCACAAGACTATACATATTTAATGGGATGTAAGTCCCACTACCCTATATGGTGGGCTCACCCTTTGGTAAATGTATTTAAGGCTGTGACTTGAATAAAGCCATTTTCACTCATTTTGCAAACGTTTTCAGTCCCTGCTTATCAGTCTGGAAGTAAGCCAGTTTGTTGACATGGGCAAATAAAGAACAAAAAATCATGGCTCATTGCCCGAGCATAAAAGCAAATGAGAAATATGATTTTGCAATATGTCTTTCAACTGAACAGAAGAACAAGCTGTCTCTTCTGGACCCAGTAGGATTAGAAGCAGCAAAAAAGCTCCCTTTTAAAAACAATAAAAACTACACATTTCTCAAGCATGGTAATTGTCCTTATGTCTTCCTCATCCAGGCTCCCAAATGCTCCTTTCTTCTGCCAAGTTCATATTTGTTTGGCCAGAAATGCTATTCATACAAATTGCTCTGCCTCAATACTCTACTCCAGTTTAAGGGCATGACTATTTTCAACAAAGGAACAGGGCTGCAATAAAAGCATGAATCAATCAGAGGAGTAAGATGCCGACAGGACAGCAAATATTACAGACTTGGCAGCAAATCACCTAAAACCGGAGTTGTAATCCAGAATCTGGAAAGACTCATCAATTGACTTGGTGGGCTGGATTCAGCCTTTGGGCCTTGAGCTTGACACACATGCCTCAGAGTCACCCTAAATCAGAAATGTCTTGAAGTTGCACCACCACCACCACAACAACAACAGAGCATTATGGCATAAATGCTGTTTGGCAGAAGCAATTTTCTAAGCTACTCTTTCCACAATACCTTAGTTCTGAGGATCCTTTAGTCCCTGGCATTTGAGAAATTTCTGACTCTATACAAAGCTGGTAGAAAGCTGATATGTAATTATGCCAGCAGAGCTTTTCACTCCACCAGTTCTGAACAGAACAACAACAACAATTCTCAGTCACATAGTTCAGGATAGGAAACTATCTAAAATTTTGCTAAGAAATTAGAGTATAATTTTCCCATCATAAGCTGGCCAAAAGCTATGGGAATATTCAGCCAACCTGACACTAGCAACATGTCATACAAAAGCCATGGGTACAACTTCCTAAATGTCTTCTGTTTCATTTTTTGTAATAATTTCTAATAGACCCTGGAAATGTAGAGCACAAGATTTGTCTCGCTGCCTCAAACTAGGCAGCTCTAAAGCTATACTTCTGTATAGAATCACAGGTTTGTGACATCAAAATGACTATGCAAAACCTGAATTAATTTTAAAGAGTACCAAATACTAATTTTAAAGCTGGAGGGGTAGAACAGCTATGCAGCACATTGTTGTTCACTTAAACAATGCATTTGTTTTTATTTACATAACATAGTGATCCTTTTGATATTTAAAGAATACCCAAAGCAATGTATAATTTTAACAAGTCAAACAGATGTCCTATTAAAAGCAGTTAACATACAACTCTAGCAAAATCCAGTTAAAACAAGCTCAAGCTTTATATGCTTGCCAGAAATAAAAGCTTAATAAAGATAAGCAGTAACTTCAGATGCTATTTATACTTTAAATATGTTCCAAAACTGAAATATTCCAGGGTGTGGTGTAAAACAATGTTGAATTATTCATCAATAAAGTTTATAGCCTATCATAAGAAAGTTCAGTATCAATAATTATACAGCATAACTGTGGATGTCCCCTTTTGTTAGTGCAAATACGCTTTTGCACCTATTTCTCAGAGATCAACGTTTACAAAATCTATTGGGGGAAATCAAGGAATGCATAACTGGAAAGAAGGAAGAGCAAGAAGGGTATTATCAGAGAATCATAGAATCCTAGAGCTGGAGGAGACCTCGTGGGCCATCCAGTCCAACCCCCTGCCAAGAAGCAGGACAATCGTATTCAAAGTACCCCCGACAGATGCCCATCCAGCCTCTGTTTAAAAACCTCCAAAGAAGGAGCCTCCACCACACTCCGGGGCAGAGAGAGCTGAACACCTCTCACCATTAGTAATTTCTTCCTAATGTTCTGGTGGAATCTCCTTTCTGGTAGTTTGAAACAATTGTTCCATGTCCTAGTCTTCAGTGCAGCAGAAAACAAGCTTGCTCCCTCCTACCTATGACTTCCCCTCAGATATTTATACATGGCCATCATGTCTCCCCTCAGCCTTCTCTTCTGCAGACCAAACATGTCCAGCTCTTTAAGTCACTCCTCATAGGGCTTGTTCTCCATACCTTTGATCATTTTAGCCACCCTCTGAACACATTCCAGCTTGTTAACATCTTCCTTCAACTGAGGTGCCCAGAATTGGACGCAGTATTCCAGGTGCAGTCTGACCAAAGCAGAATAGAGGGGTAGCATAAGAGGATTTGATGCTTGATGCTGTTATACTGGTGTGTTTTCAACCACTAGTTATACATTACACAATCCCTGGAGTATAGACAGCAAAATTAAGACAGTCTCTGCTGTAAGGAACTACTCAACATTAGAAATTTACTCAGGCTCTATCAATTCTAAAGAGTTCTATGGTAAGCACCCTAAACATAACCTCTCAATTATGCTCCCATAATTGGCAAACACAATGAAATCAACTAGACCTTGTGTAATGAACAGTTAGTTGTTAACCCTTGGTGAAAGTGGCTAGTCCTTGCATCATGCTCATGTAGAACCAAAATGAAGACAGTGGAGGAACTCACCCTAGAAATGCCAACAATTTGTTCATCCGGGAGCAAACTTATGCGCACAAAGCAGGACTCAAAGTTGATATCTTCCTTCTCCATGAGATCTTTCCCTTGCAGCAGTGTCACATGCAAGGTGTTGGAATGTACATTGTATTCCATGTTGACTTCCACTTGTCCAACTGTGAATTCTTGGCCAAAGTTATTCCCAATAGAGGAGATGGAACTGAGGGAGTCAGTGGAAATAGACTTTTTCAGGGGACCATAGGGAGCCAAATCAAGCTCTTTATGCATCAGCTCCAAAGTGCCTAACTCATTAATGTTTTCAAAGGTGTCGTCCATTTTCAGGCTTGGCTTGCGAACAGGAGATGTCCTGTCTCCTGCCTTTCGGAAGTTGTTTGCAGCTCTCTGTGAAGACAAAAGAAAATCCAATCAATGCTCATGATTTACTGCAATCTCAAAACATTTACTTGTGTGTATAGAATGTGTCATTTTGGAAGTCTCAAAAGTCTAATAGCAAATTCATTAAAAATACCCGTTGTTCTCTCTGATCTTCAAAACAAATACTAACTTGGGGAGGAAGGGTTCAAATGCAAGGCAAAAATTGAAGGAAATTAAGTAAAACATAGGAATTTGTACATATGTGTAACTAAATTAGGAAGACCTGAAATCAAGATGTGTAAATATTTAAGCATTATAACTTCTTATCAGAGGCTGCTAGAAACATTTGCTGCATCTTACCAAGCTGATGGTGGTTGTTACAGTTTAAAAAGTGCATAATGACTGAAATTGGATTCCCTTTTTGTGTGTGAGCAGGTCAGAGAGCCATGCTTGTCTGCTGCAACAAAACAACTAAGATCCCGTGACATGTTAAAAATGAACCAATTTTATTTGGCGCAAACCTTTGTGGACTGCAGCCATACCTTTGAAGAAGTGGGCTGGAGTCCACAAAAATCTATGCCAATTAAACATGAGCTGGAATTCACTTGGGAACCTTCTTATTTATAAGAGGAATTAACACCCGCAAGAAATACAATTGAGCAGGTTCACAATGTGTGTATTTATCCAGGGACTGCTGTTATGCTGATATAGAGGAGAGTCAACAAAAACTGACTGTTGCAAATTGGAATCAATGCACAACAGGGCCCAACACACAATGGGATCAATGCATAATGCTACCCAATGCTTAATGGGACTGGTGCGCATCGGGACACCCTTTTCTGTGTCTCATTACATGCCTTCACAATTCACTAACAAGGTTTCTTAATACCTTTGCTATCTAGCTAAGTATGCATAAAGTTATGTAATCTAGAGACCTTAACAGAGAATTCCAGCTTCTGTTTTTAAAATGCTACTTCCATCTCTTTATGTATGCACATGTACGTGCTTCTGTAAGCTAGCTCAGGGAACACTGAAAACCAAGATATATTAAGAGTCTTGTGCCATGGGATAAAACAAATGGACTATTTTACAATCTTTCAAGAGTGTGAGACATTGCTATTCTTTTCCAAAGACACAGGACTGTTGTTTCAGCTAAGGGAGACCAACAAAGAAGTGGTTCTAGAACTGAATATCTGTTCATCCATTTTTCTTTATTAGCATATTTCTACATTTTCCTTATCATTTTGGATAGATCTATTTTACAATCTAAATATCTATTTCATTATTTACATTTCTTTGTTGCACACAGAATTAATGACCTTTCTATATGTACACACTGTTTTTGGGGGAAGTTAGTTATGATTCGTAGTAAAATTTAGATGTACTCAGAAATTCAAGGGAAAAAAACCAAACAAATGAGCAAGGAAAGGGTTTATTTTTCTACCCCAGGTACAATACTTTTAAAATTGTGGATGAGTCAAGCTGCTTAAGCATGCATTTCTAAGAAACGTCTTACATAAACTTTCCCAACACATCTAGATTTGTGGTGGGAAAAGTGAGACCCATGCCCTGCATGTGTTCCTGGACTACATTTTTCTCTTCAAACCATGAAGAAAGCCCTCATTTCCATAAACCTCAAATACCTCTTTTCCTCATAGCCCCCCCCCTCTGAAAATGGCAAAAAGGTGATATAATGTCACTTCTGAATGCCATTTTGAGAGTGACAAAAGATGAAAACCACTCTTTGAGCTTGGTGTAGAGAGGGACTGGCCTCTGAGCCTTCACACAGTTGCCCACAATGATCTAGTCAAATACTATCAGTCAATACTGAATGGAACTAACTGTCTATAAAGTTTCAAGCAAGATTCTTTCACAGCTGTCCTTGGAAACCTTCTTACAGCTAAACATATGCTTTGTCATTGAGCTACAGTGCCTATTAAATAGGATGTTTGATTCAATGGCAACTGACATCATCAGAAAGTCTGCAAGCAACATCAAATAATTATTTTTTTCAAAGACCAAACACACTAATAAGAGCTGCTGTCAGAACTCCCCACGCACACCACAGGTAATCTAGACTGTTTCTAACAAGATGACTAGAACTGTGGCTTGGAGCCATTAAGCCCTCAACCTCTGCCGGAATATATTAGCTCTGACTGAGGATCAATAATCCAATTTATGCAGCCTTTAGCTTCCTGTGTTAATAGCCCCACTGAAGGTTTTCGAACTGTATTCAGTTCCTGCTCCCCTTACTCTCAACCTCTCTCCTGCCAGTATTCTCTCTCTGCTTGCATGTAGAGGTGCTATTCGGAACAAAACAAGCTTGTTATCCCCATTTATGAAGTGCATGTCCAAACAATTGGGGGGGGGGGACACCAAAAGCTATGTTAAGGAAGTACAAGGGCTGCCTACAAAGTCCTCAGACTTCCATTTACAGTGGATTTACACAACTAGCAACATGAGAGAAACAACCCTTAGTGGAAGGGTCTTGTGATCTTATAATCTCCATCACTAATTGGACAGCTGCAATGTTCTCTAACTGCCATTTTCTCTGTTCTCGTACTATCTGGTGGTCCTCTCACTGCTAGGCTACCCATATCATTCTCTCCCCTCCCATGAGTTTGACTATAAGACATCCTCTTTGAGAATTTTCCTTTCTGCTCTCAGATCCCATCCAAAACTCTCAATTTTATCTTTCTAACTTTCCATCTATCTATAGCTCCATAACCTTCCATCTATCTGCTACTTATATATCCTTGCTTCTGACCATTGCTAGTCAAGATCCACTATCCTCACCTGTTAGAAAGGTTCTTGTTTGGGATACATTGCCTCAAAGTGTGGTGTCTTCTTCTCTTTTTAAGCAGAGGTTGGATATACATCTGTTGTGAGTGGTTTGATTGTGTTTTTCTTCATGGCAGGGGACCGGACTGGCTAGCTCTTGTGGTCTCTTCCAATTCCATGATTTTATATTCTAAACAGCCCTGTTTTCTCCCTTGCCTTCCATTATGCCTGGCACAAACCTTTATACCCATACTTTGCTGAAAATAATCAAGTGTCCTTCACTTGGAATATAGAGCCTGAACTCAAGAAGAAGCTCCATCAAATACTGGGAAGGCAACAGATATGATTAGTAGGTATGGTACAAAGAGTTTCTCAACAGTGTCACAATTGCTCTTTACCTTTTGCTTGATCTGGGAATATGTGGTCCCATACTTTTGCTCAAGGTATCTGTAGTCATAGTTTGGAAATGGCGACGGTGCAGGATAGCTGCCAGATCTCCAAAGCTTCCACAGGTTTACTCCAGCTATGCCCAGAAGAGCAAGTGCCCCCGTAATATAGACACCTATTTCCCATCCAGGTGGATTTTTTATGACTGAAAAGAAAACAAGTTTTGTTTAACTGAAGGAGCTGGCACCAATCACATATATTTAAACCTTATTTCATCCAGAGAGGTTTTCTTATTGGGTAGATTTAAATATACAACAAATTAATAACTCACATAGAAATGCTGTATGGCTATGAAATAAATAACACGTTATTTCTCCTGAGGCATTACTGATTCTGAAATGAAGGGGAAATTGAAATTCATAGCATAGATAATTCTTAATTCCTTCTTCCCTCCACCTCCAAATATAAACATAATTTTCCCATTTGAAATTGCAGTGAAATGGTCTGAATCTATCTTTCAAAACTGAATAATAACATCTTTGGACAGTCTAATATGTATAAAATGTGGTGGTTTAATATAATGTAACTGGATATTTCTTCAGATACTAAAACCTTCAAAAGCAGAACAATTGTGATATTTTGTTTTCATAGTCTTTGCGTCCCTTCTTTGGATAAGAAAAATCTTTTGTTGAATAATCACACACTATTTAATTGTTGATCAATATTTCTACTGATCTGTGAATACAACCATTAATTTTTTCTAAAGCATTATTTTCTCCTTTTTTCCAGCTTGGATGCCCATGACTTAGTTTTCCTTTTACTGATGAATATTAAAACTCAGAAGGGGATGTCTTCAAAGTTTTGAAAAATAATCTTTGACATTTTATTTGTTTTTCGATTATTTTTCCCCCATATTTATAAGAGCAATTTCTTTTCCAGAGTTGTACTGCAATCATCTTCTCAACACATGATATATAGCCTATATATCGACTTCCTACTATGGATTTCATACTGACCTGGAAAATTGCTTATGCTTAATGATTACAAATGGGAACACCTTGCGGGTAAACACACAGTGATCTACAATAAGCTGACATACAAGAGTTGTTCAAATTGACGTAACATAATTCTGTTACTAGTACTACCTAAAATCGACTCATTGAATTTACCTGTATTGGCTCAACATTCAACATTTGATCAAAAGGGTATACTCTAATTAAAACTAACCCAAAAGGTATGGAGCCACGGTGGCGCACTGGATTAAACCCATTTGCTGGCTGGACTCCTGACCTGAAGGTTGGCTTGCTGACCTGAAGGTTGCTGGTTTGGGTGAACCCCCATCTGTCAGCTCTAGCTTGCAGGGACATGAGAGAAGCATCCCAGCAGGATGGGAGCACATCCAGGCATCCCCTGGGCAACATCTCTGGAGACAGCCAATTCTCTCAGACCAGAAGTGACTTGCAGTATGTTCTCAAGTCACTTCTGACATGACCAAAAAAAAAAAAAACCAAAAGGTGGCAACCATTTTCTTCTTATGGTCAACATTCCTTTTATATCCAGATATCGTTACTTCCTGAGGGAACAATGTTGTTTGCTGTTGCTCTGGAGTTTAGGACACAGAGCAATGGACTCAAATTGCAGGAAAAAAGATTCCATCTAAACATTAGGAAGAACTTCCTAATGGTAAGAACTGTTCGGCAGTGAAATATGCTGCCCTGCAGTGTGGTGACATCTCCTTCTTTGGAGGTTTTTTAGCAGAGGCTGGATGACCATCTGTCATGGGTGCTTTGATTGTGTTTTCCTGCATGGTACAATGAATCCCTAAACCAACATGGGTGAAGCTGGGAGATTCTGTGGACTATAGCCAAAGAAGTAACTTTTTCCAAGTTGTGTTTAGTCCCTTAGAATTAATTACTGGCTTAAAAAGCACAGAAATGATGTTGGAGGCCTGCTCAAAAGATATTTTGGGACAAAATTATCAGTATTTATTTGGATATTTTTCTGTCTCTTGAATTTTAAGAGCTTTGTTCCCAGAAAAGAAATACGCAAAAATAGTAGACGTATCATATTATAATATCCCTGAGGAGATGAAATTCACCTGAGTGATTATCTCCAAGCGAAATCCTATTACAGGTTGTTTAGTATTCATGACACTCACCACTTAGTTGATGTTCATCAATATTACTGTCCATGATGGCTGTCCTGGGCTACAACAGTGGTCTAGGAAAAAAGACAAAAATGAGAAAACGAGGAAGATTGGTGCTGGCACTTCATAATATCATATAGAGACTACTTAGAAGAAACACACAAAAAAAATCCACTTTTATAACTGCTCAAAACTACTCTTCTTTACTTTAGGGATTGTTAGTCAAAATATAATTTTATATTTTTGCATTTACAACTATGAAATGCTGTGGTACTCTCATACACAAGAGTGTGAAAGGATCCCCTTCCATGCCTGCAATACACAAATGGGAAGCCTAATACTTCAATGCTGCCTTGGTGCATACATTGGTTGCTGCGTTTACAATTTCTCACATCCTTGTCAAATAATGCCATTGTCTATGACCAGTTACTCATTGCTTGCCAGTACATTGTTCCAATGGATGAAATACTATTTTTGAAGGCTGGCTAGCAGCTCTGTTTCCACTGCTGAAGAGGATTCTTCAGCATGCAATATAGATAGGCAGTGCTGAGATTTAAGACCTCATCACATGACTTCTGGGTTCCATCCTGGACAGAGTCAAGATAGAGCCTGCTGGAGCCCATCACATGATGCAGGGCTACTTTTCAACTGTGCTGAAAGCATCCTAGGATGGAACCCTGAGAACATGGGAGGCTTTCTGTGTTCTTATAAGTTAAGCCGGGTAAAGCACTGGAGGAAGCTGGGCAGCAACGGTTGTCCCCATGGGATGGGAAAGAGGGTGATACGGGTGATGTGGGGTGATGATTTCCCTCACTTCCCGACGGATTTGCCCCGCTGTCTCCCGGATGCCCCCACTTTCACCCAGATTGAGGACCTTAATATGATAAGATCTTTAGACTGTTGTAGGAGTGGTGATAGTTATTCTCAGACCAACACAGAACCTGAAGGGTCCAACATGCACCAGAGCTTTAAAATGCTACGTTCTGGAACACAATTTCCAGAATCTTGCAGCCATAATGGCCATAAGCTTTGACTAGCTCAAAGATCCTGGCCCTGGATTTTAAGCTTTGCCACCACTGGACATTGGAGCTTTAATAAAAGAGCAGATGTTTTATTTGTGTCTCCAGTTTATATGACCTCTATTAACTGTTGTACTTTGTTCTGTTTTGTCTGTGAATCACTAGTATGGATCAAGTTTTGCTGTAATTCTAATCATGCTTCGATCCTTTTTAAAGCAATATAATTTAATATATTGTCGAAGGCTTTCATGGCCAGAATCACTTGGTTGTTGTAGGGGTTTTTGGGGGGGCTATATGGCCATGTCCTAGAGGCATTCTCTCCTGATATTTTGCCTGCATCTATGGCAAGCATCCTCAGAGGTAGTGAGGTCTGTTGGAACTAGGAAAAAGGGTTTATATATCTGTGGAATGACCAGGGTGGGACAAAGGACTCTTGTCTGTTGGAGCTAGGTGTGAATGTTTCAACTGACCACCTTGATTAGCATTTGATGGCCTGGCTGTTGTTTGGTGTGGCTTGTTAGTGCATGGAGCAACAGACCTCACTACCTCTGAGGATGCTTGCCATAGATGCAGGCAAAACATCAGGAGAGAATGCCTATAGATCATGGCCATATAGTCCGAAAAAACCTACAACAACCCAATATGATTTAAGCTAACTTGTCCCAGTGATTTGAGGCTGAATAAAACCAAACTTACTGCAGTCTTGTACAGTTTCACTCAGAAATTAGTCCTGTTATGTAAGTAGCATTTACTTCACATATGAGTGTAGTTGAGAGCCAGTGCAATGGTCTAGGACTCTATGAGACCAGGGTTCACTTTTCTTCTCAGTGATGGAAACCTACTACCTGACCTTGGATGCGTCATACTCTCTCGGGCCCCTTCTACACTGCCATATAATCCATATTATCAAATTAAGTAATCCACATTATCTGCTTTGAACTGGATTGTATTACACTGCCATATAATCCAACATTGAAATCAGATAATCTGGATTTTATATGGCAGTGTAGAAAGGGCTTCAGTCTCAGAAGGCCCCCTCCCCACCCGAAAAACCTTTGTGATAAATTGCCATAGGTTTCTAGAAGTCAGAAATGACTGTAAGGCACTCAACAACAGTGTGTGGAGTACTAAAAACCTGGCAAGATTACAAATGTACCCAATCTACACCATGATGATTAATTATGTGTACCATAGTTCACCGGGTTGCTACCATGTTATCTATAGAAGCATTATGCCTTCAGCAGTTGTGTGACAGGCAGAAACTTAACAAGTGCCACTTTCACTAAGAGGGAGATAAAAGAAAGCTGTGATGCACTGTTACGAGCCTCTGGCTGAATCCCCTGGTTGATATTACTTTTGGTACTTTAATTTGCATCTTAAGAGCTTCATTTTAGGCTTGCTTGCATATGTTACTATTGTGGCACATTTGCTATCAAGAGCTCAGACTTCAAGTGTCGCAGTCTTCACAGTCAGCCTTATACAAAATGGCCCCATGTCGTGCAAGTTGAATCCAACCAAACACAGAAAACTATTATTGAGCAGGCAGGCATTCAGCATCAAGTTGAAAAATCAGTTTTGCAATATGCTACCTTTCCCAGTGAAAAATAAAGAGAAAATTCTCAGTGTGCATGATTTTTTAGTTTTCTGTTCTGATATGCAATTGCTTTGGTGACTTAAGAAGTGGGGTTGGATCTACTCTGCCAAATAATGCAGTCTGAACTGTATTATATGGTCAGTGAAGACCCATATAACGCAGTTCAGTGCAATCCATGCTGCATTATATGAGTCTACATTGACCATATAATGCAGTTCAAAGTAATATAGATCCAGCTTTAGCGAAGCTTTTGTTATCTGGTCATTGACTTCCTCCTTCCCCTTTTCCTGCTACTGCTACAGAAGCATAGGTGTTTTAACTATGACCACAAATAATTGCAATTATTTGCTGCATGCTCAGTGGCAAGTATACCACTCACATACAATTTAAATGTCAGACTTTGCATTATAAAGTTTTTTCCCAATAACAAGCAATATCCTGATATATTTTTTTTTGTCGTGCCAGGAGCGTCTTGAGAAATTGTAATATCCTGATGAGCTTGGAAACTAAACAAGTTTAAAATCTCAGCCAATATGCTGAAAAGTAAAGTATAATGTAATTCTTACCCAGTCCTTTATACTGCATGGAGTCAGTGGTATATGGTGTTGTGTAGAAATGCATTATTAAAAACTGCTTCTCAACTAGGTCATCCAAGACTAGAGGTCATCGACTGCTGGAAAAGTACTGTACTATAACCTGCCAATGGGGGAGGATCTGATTTATCTTTTCTTCTTGAAGGATCTCTTTGTTTGCAGGAGGAAATTATTATGTTGTTCCACTTCCATGTCGAAATGATGAACAGCTATGTAAGGACTGGCCTGGACATCCTTGCTTAGCCTTTATCATTTTGAGAATCTAGCAATCCACATGTTTTACAGCAAGAATCCCTGCCAAGTTTTCTCATTACAAACTTTAGTGGGGTGAATTGCATTGCCCACTGTGCCTGGTTTCACAATGATTTCTTAAGGACTCCTATATCACAGTAACATCTTATGGTATAGCCTCTGTTTATATTGAGATAAACAGAAGAATATACTATGGGGTCCAACATGAGAACCTGTAAACGGTCATGGCAATCTTGATAACTTTTATTTATCTCATGTTTTCCTAAAACTAAGAAGAACAGCAATTGTTGAAATAATAAAATGTGACTATTTATGTGACTGAAAACAAATCACACCCAACAATACTGCAGATTTAATTTTTTTAAAAAAGAAATGACTTTTAATTCTGTTGAACTCTATTGAACTGACTCCTCTTTTTCTTAGAAATACATTCACATGTACATCACCACTTATTTCAGAAAGAATGTCAGATGCTGTAGGAAGGCTCCGGAAGAGATGGAACCATGATGCCACAATAGTGTATATAGTTCCAATAAATAAAAATAAAATACTTTTTAGGGAAATGTTTAAAATATTTATTTATTTATTTATTTGCAATATTTCTATCCCGCCTTTCTCAGCCTGAAGATGGCTCAAGGCGGCTTACAATTTGTCAGCAATTTGATGCCACAACAGTCATAAATACCATTAAAACATTTAACAAGACATAATAAAAATCCATATAAAAACCGTATAAAAACATATAATCACCAATGACTTCCAATGTAAACTCATTTTCCATTAGTATCGTCAAAGCCGTTCCATTAGCATAATCTAAGCCATTCCATAGATATCATACTTATCTATTACACTGCATTTCCAAAAGCTTGTTCGAAGAGCAAGGTCTTTACTTTTTTCAGCAAGGTCAGGAAGGAGGGGGCCGATCTAATATCCCTAGGGAGGGAGTTCCACAGCTGAGGAGCCACTACTGAGAAGGCCCTGTCTCTCCTCCCCGCCAAACGTGCCTGCAAAGAAGGCGGGATTGAGAGCACGGCCTCCCCAGATGATCTTAAGTTCCTAGATGGTTCATAGGAGAGATACATTCACACAGGTAAGCTGGACCGGAATTATTTAGGGCTTTATAGGCTAAATACAGTGGCAAAATCTAAATAAAGTTAAGCTTATGTTGATATCAAGGACACATATGCATAACCCCCTCCTACTGAAGTAATTGAGACTTTCAAGTTGGCTAAATTCTATTGTTATGATATATACTTAAGGTGCTTTTACACTGTTGAATTAATGCAGTTTCACACCACTTTTGATGCCATGTCTCGATGCTATGGAATCCTGGGAGTTGTAGTTTTAGCTGGCTCTGCCAAAAAGCACTGGTGCCTCACCAAACTACAAATCCCATGATTTAATAGCATTGAGCCATGGCAGTTAAACTGGTGTCAAATTGCATTGAACCCTAACAGCCAATTATCAAGAAAGATTGAAAGCACTATATTAGGCAACCAGTTTACAGTGTAGTGACAATGAAATGTCAGAATGAGTTATATTTTTAGTCCACATCAAGAACCTTCAGAAACAGTAAACCTATAGTACAGCTACAGGGGACAAGGTGAGCTGTTTCT